TACTGAGCGGATGTGAAATCCATCTTTCACAACGCATCATTAACGCCCACATGGGTACATCACGTAGTTTGTGGGGGTGGGGATGATATGGCACTGCTGAATTGTTCCATTTAGTATTTTGTGTTACATGGTGTATAGATTTTATCACTGTGTGTTACATGGTGTATAGATTTTATCACTATGTGTTACATGGCGTATAGATTTTATCACTATGTGTTACATGGTGTATAGATTATATCACTATGTGTTACATGGTGTATAGATTATATCACTATGTGTTACATGGTGTATAGATTTTATCACTGTGTGTTATATGGTGTGTAGATTTTATCACTATGTGTTACATGGCGTATAGATTTTATCACTATGTGTTACATGGAGTATAGATTTTATCACTGTGTGTTACAAGGTGTATAGATTTTATCACTATGTGTTACATGGCGTATAGATTTTATCACTATGTGTTACATGGAGTATAGATTTTATCACTGTGTGTTACAAGGTGTATAGATTTTATCACTATGTGTTACATGGTGTATAGATTTTATCACTGTTAAGTGATTTACACTATTTTTGTATTAGCATTACTACATGTATATGGGGTGATATGCAATGATGCGTATATACAGACTCCCCTACATATCTCTTCCTTCACTTTGTAACGGTACCAATTTCGATGCAATTTGACGTCAGATACCTGTAAACTGTGTACAGTGAATTCCGATAAGGTTCTCAATATCACTATCTCAGTACTCATATTGCATTTTTATGTTATATGTGACAGCTATGGCGTTCCTTACATTTCCTTCAATATTTCATGTTCGGAATCAATACATTGTTACTGTTGGAGAATTGTGACGTACTTAAGAGTCAGGCTTCACAGGGCTAATGTATTATTTAGAGCGTGCTTCAAACATTATACCTGTGATTTTGTGTTAAAAATACCTACCTTAAAATTATATTTTACCTTCTCTTTCGAAATCACATGAGCGTCAGGAATGCGTGCAGTTTTTTGTGCCTTTCTGGCTTGTCATCGATAAGTAAATATTATCAGCATTGTAATCCCATCCACTAGTACGACTCGCTTACAATAGTAATAGTAATAACATTTTTGTTATTTTGTTGAAAATTCTATTATCTAAAAGTTTATTAATATGATTTCGTATATGAATAAATTATGTTTCATGAGATTCCGCTTAAAGCTTCCTTGGAAAAGATCTCAGTTTTTGCGTTATTGTTACGTATTATGCAATAAGACTATGAAACGAATCGACTGCATGTGTTCTCTGCCGTTGAACAGATATTTCTCAAGTATCGTGCAACAGGTATAACTTTGATAAACCTATTTGTGCATTTTATAATATATATGTACCAGCGGTTAGTAGTAGGAGCAAATTCAATGCTTCCACTACCAACGGGTACATCGTACTACCGGGTACAGTGTACTACCGGGTACATTATACTACCGGGTACATTGTACTACCGGGTACAGTGTACTACCGGGTACAGTGTAAAACCGGGTACATTGTACTACCGAGTACATCGTATTACCGGGTACAGTGTACTACAGGGTACAGTGTACTACCGAGTACAGTGTACTACCGGGTACAGTGTACTACCTGGTACAGTGTACTACCGGGTACATTGTACTACCGGGTACAGTGTACTACCGGTTACAGTGTACTACCGAGTCCAGTGTACTACCGGGCACAGTGTACTACCGAGTACATTGTACTACCAGGTACGTTGTACTACCGGGTACCGTGTACTACCTGGTACAGTGTACTTCCGAGTACAGTGTACTACCAGGTACATTGTACTACCAGGTACATTGTACTACCGAGTACAGGGTACTACCGGGGACAGCGTACTACCGGGAACAGTGTACTACCGGGCACAGTGTACTACCGAGTACAGGGTACTACCGGGGACATCGTACTACCGGGTTCATTGTACTACCGGGTTCATCGTACTACCGGGGACATCGTACTACCGGTTACAGTGTACTACCGGGCACAGTGTACTACCGAGTACATCGTACTACCTGGTACAGTGTACTACCTTGTACAGTGTACTACCCGGTACGGTGTACTACCAGTTACATTGTACTACCGGGGGCAGTGTATTAACGGGTACAGTGTACTGCCGGGTACAGTGTACGACCGGGTACAGTGTAAAGCCGGGTACATTGTACTCCCGAGTACATCGTATTACCCGGTACAGTGTACTACGGGGTACAGTGTATTACCGGGTACAGTGTACTACCGGGTACATCGTACTACCGGGTACAGCGTACTACCGGGTACAGTGTACTACCGGGTACATTGTACTACCGGGTACAGTGTACTACCGGGTACAGTGTACTACCGGGTACATTGTACTACCGAGTACATCGTATTACCGGGTAAATTGTACTACCGGGTACAGTGTATTACCGGGTACAGTGTACTACCGGGTACAGTGTACTACCGGGTACATCGTACTACCGGGTACAGCGTACTACCGGGTACAGCGTACTACCGGGTACAGTGTACTACCGGGTTCATCGTACTACCGGGTTCATCGTACTACCGGGTACAGTGTACTACCGGGTACAGTGTACTACCGGGTACGGTGTACTACCAGTTACATTGTACTACCAGGTACATTGTACTACCGGGTACATTGTATTACCGGGTACAGTGTACTACCGGGTACATTGTACTACCGGGTACAGTGTACTACCGGGTACAGTGTACTACCGGAAAGGTCGACTCCGTCGGGAAACATATCCAAATTCAACAAATAGGAATGGACGGCGACTTAGGTAGACATTATTTTAATTTTATGAAATGTTAATAAACTCTTGGAAATATAACACGCCTTAACGTGATTCCATGTGAGCTAAAAATACAATTTTAATGGTGATATGTTTTAACAAAAATATGAAGAAATAGGTCCACTTTAGTGTGTAATGGTAGATCAATATAGGACACCTCGGCCGAGCTTACAAGTAGAGGCTAGCCATCCAGCGACAAATGTTTCTTTAATCGGGTTTATATTGAGATAGATAGCCAATATTAGGAGATATAAATTCATTATAACGAGGTAGTAAGTCGTTCTTACGATATTGAAGTCGTTATAACGGGATACCAAGTCGTTATATGTAAAATATTCTATGTCATTTAAAACCATATGAAGTCGTTATAACGGTATATCAAGTCGTTATAAAGGTATTCTAGGTCATTTAAACACCATACTAAGTCATTATATGGGATATCAAGTCGTTATAAAGGTATTCTATGTCATTTAAACACCATACTAAGTCATTATAACGATAAAGTAAGCCACGATAACGAGATGGTATGTATTATTAACGAGACTGTAAGTCGTTACAACAAAAAACAGTTGTTATAACGAGATACTGAGTCGTTTAAATGGGATACAATTTACATCTCAAAATTTATGTCCGCTCAGAACTAAAGTGTTGCCGGCAGGAAAAGGTTTACCATGCATGCCAATTCTAGTTAAGGTTTGACCAAAATCAGTATTTATCTACAAGGGTAGAGTAACCCTAGTGGTTGATATTGGTATCGACACCATCAACCCTCGCTATTGTAACAAAGAGTCACAATAATATACACCCACTATAGTTTAACCGGGTGGTTAAGTGAGTGTAACCAGTTAAGTGGGTGTAACAAGTAAAGTGGGTGTAACTATTTAAGTGAGTGTAACCAATTAAGTGGGTGAAACAAGTTAAGTGGGTGTAACAAGTTAGGTGGGTGTAACCAGTTAATTGAGTGTAACCACTTAAGTGGGTGTAACAAGTTAAGTGGATGTAACCAGTTAAGTGGATGTAACCAGTCAAGTGGGTGTAACAAGTTAAGTGAGTGTATACAGTTAAGTGGGTGTAACCAGTTAAGTGGGTGTAACCAGTTACGTGGGTGTTAGCAGGTTACACTAGTGGTAAGGGTTACAATAGCGAGTTTACAAACAATTCATTAAAAATATTCACAAATATTCTAAAAATGGTATTAGAGTTACAGTAAAGCTGCTGTAATCTTTAAAGTTATATTTGAATCCGTTATATTTTCATAATTATATTTCATTTTTCATAACGAGAAAAGTTATACAGTCATCACACAAAAAGTTAGAAAGACTTTCACCTCTAATCAAACTGAGAATTTCGACTAGAGGTAATATACAACTTATCAATTTATACAAACTTGTACGAGTCCCATTTCAGCACGTAAAAGGGAACATACTTTGGTTAGGTTAGATTAGCGAAATGTGTCGGAACTTACATATGTATATCTACTGCCTGCTTCATCCTACTCGTGGAAGCAGACGTACTGTTCAGTAGCTATATATAATTCCACAAAGATGAAACAGTTTCCCTACGCATGCTTCACTCTATTTGCAAGCACTGCTTGAATACTAAAATAGCATATTATACTTATACACTTACAATAGTAGATACGCATAACAAATACTTATATAGTAGGAAACTGACTTTTTAATGTCACACAGCATCTTATTAACCTTTCTTTAACATTCTGCTAACTTAAACTAAGACGCTATTGTAAAGCCGGGGCCTGTAACGCAGATTTTTCCATGATTTCTCCTTTTCCTTGACCCCATTGTATTATTGAAATATTGAAATCACGCTTTTATGAAAAAAATGTTTTTAAAGACCCTGGCAAAGTCCATCAGTATAAAAATAAAGATACCTTACACACACTTCCAGATGAAGGTAATTAATTGCCGATGTTCTTAAATATATTTTCAACACAGCTTTTACTGAATAGCCGACGTGTAAAACAGTACAGCTTAACCGTAAGTCCCACTCGGCAATCCCATTGTGATCAAAGGAGAACATGCACGAGCTAGCTACCAGTAAAGCTACCAGTGCTAGTTTTAAAACGGGATGACAAAGTCCATACATTCACCAAAGGATTTTAAAATCTCGACAGGCATGCTATTTAAAATCGTACTAAATAAAATAAAAATTATATACTTACGAAATTAGTTGTTGATACAAAGTGTGTGACGTACGGTCGCCACCGACGTCATAAAGGCTAGTACCTAGAGTATCTTCTGAACCCAGAATCTGGTGGCGGGCAATCGCCCCAGTCCGTGAATGGTAGTGTTTTCCAAAAAGTCAAAAATCAATGTCTTCATTGGCTTGTTTTCCATTTTTGTGTAATTAGAACAAATCACTCTTTTTTTTGTAACTGGATCGAGTATTGAGTTGCTAAAACTCCACGCACGCGTCACAACAGTTCCATTCACTTTGTAACTTTCTGTTCCTGGCTGTTAACATCTTTATAAATAGTCAATGCAGAAATACGCTCAGTCTCTTAGAGGAATTGACAGGGTTATAAATTCAGAAATACGTGTTTTAAATTTAAATAAAACGCAGACCCGGAGAACTGTCTTATATATCAAAGCAAAATCCCGAAAAATGTTTTTCGTTTTGAATCTTAAAGCAATTTCGTTGTCACCATTACATATGCTCATGAAATTATGTGGCGCCAGAACAAACGATGGTTTCTTAATACATGTTTATCTCATACAAAGACTTGTCTGCTATTCTGACGCCTGTAGCGAGCTACATTACAGGTATTTACCAACATCAATAATTTATTGCAGATTCAGATTCACGTTCTTCTATTCCGTGTTTTTCAAAACATATCGGAGAGAAGACATTAGACACATAAGCCCGAGTTTCTTCTGGCTCTGACACAAAACTTAGACATTTGGACAGATAGATGTCTGGTGTCACGGCCAGAGGAAATTCGGGCTCATTACATACAAATGTATATGCAATGCAATACAATACATATGTACCATGTACAGATGTTTTTTTTGTACAGGGTTTAGCGTCCTATCAACAGCTACGGTCATTTAAGGACGTGCTCCCATGTGTGTTTTGTAAGCATGTGCGCGCGCTGTAGACAGGCTATGTTGGTGTACTGACGCCGACTTTAGAGTGCTAACTCACTGAAATACCATGTCGAAGGCATCCAGCACAGATCACGTTATACTGACAACGGATGTACCTGTTTTGCCATGATACGAATACATAGTGTTTGTAAAATATATTGCAACGAATCACATCACAGTACAGTATGATACAATATAGCTGTAGTCTTTTTGCTCGAGTTATTGACTTTTGTTTTCTTGAATAGTATCACAGAGACAACTTATCTATACGATATGGATGACGAACACTGAATTGTTTAGATGCTTAATACCAATTCTTGTAAAAAAAATAGCATAAAACATTTGTTCAATGGAAACCTAAGTGTTATTGCTACAATGTTGTATCCTTATCCCATAGCTAACTTAATCCTTATTTGTTGAGTGAAGGCTATTCAAATCCAACTATCATTTGACAGTAGTCTTTACTCGTAGCATGTTTTTAAGATAGAATTATTCGAAGTTTAGAATTTTTAACCGGTATCTAATAATGGCAATCTCCCCCAAATTACAGCATTCCCTTTTTTGTTTACTCTAAGTAGCCTTTCTCAAAAAATAATGTGCATTGACTCGACATCCAAGCTTTATGAAAGCCCAATACTTCTGCATAGTTTATCTAACAAAGGTTTAGGTGTCAAATGCAGAACATTGTGTTTCAATATTCGAATTATGGTTTTTGAATCTGTTTACTTATTGTACATGTACTGTTTACTTATTGTACATGTACTGTTTACTTATTGTACATGTACTGTTTACTTATTGTACATGTACTGTTTACTTATTGTACATGTACAAAACACTATATGTCTTTTACTATTGCTCTATGCAATTTTGTAACCTTAAATATTTAAACCAACTTTGTTGTTTCGAATCACACCAACCTAGGCTTGTACTCGTTATACAATTATTTCAGAACTTATCAATAATGCAGGTAAGAGTTATTTCCCTTGACATTTTTAAGCATTACTCTATTTTTTTTCGTGGAGATGTATCATTGTATATATAACTATTATTTGCCAAGCTTATATTTATGTCTGTGACTTAAGGACTTACCCTTCTGCGGTTCATATAAAGTCCGAATCTCTTTTGATCACTGTACGGGACTTTTTAAGATAAATATTAACCTGTTTTAGACTGTACCATGTTACCAAGTCAAAAAAAAAAAAAAATCGTTCATTTTTCATAAAAAGAAACCATCCACTTTTCTTTTCTGTTACTGTTGTTATTTCTTGCACATGGGTTTATAAATAGAACACGAACTACTAACAGGGTCACGTAGGCCCTTTCACTCGTGTACCTGTGTCGACCGGCCTGAAATTAAAGGAACACTTTCATATTTGACTAATAATGATGGATAAACTATCAATATCAGCAGAAAATCATACACAGTTCAAATATTTTAGAGTCTGAGGAGGTTCTGATCAAATTTCTTCTCCGAACAAGCTAATGGTACAGCAAATTAAGAATGTTTTGCTTTTGTGATTATTCTAACATTTGAATTGACCGTGTTACCATAATCAGCAGCCAATAAAAGCGTGTAGATACAGATTAATTGATATCAAAGTATAATCATGTTGAAGTTATTAACATAAAAATACTTCTTTGCATTGCATGACAGTTTCCTGGGCAGTTTTCTCACAGGTGTCGCGTTTTTGGTACAGCGACGACATAGTCGGTGTAAAGCAAACATGCATCTGAAAAAAGTGTCCCATCTTGAATTGAAAATATCTTTAATGGGTATTGAACCTAATATTCAAATGAATTGAACTTATCTTTTTATCTAATATTTTTAAAACATCACGGGATCAGTAACGTTTTAACGAAACTAGGGATTGGCCCAGCATTACCAAGCTCCCCAGTCTACCGAGCCAAAAAGGGAAATGCCATCTATCGCGAAGCTATGTGTTAGGTAGAAGGCAGCAGCGAAATAAATCTGTACAATTAAAACCTGCCACTTCTAAACATAGTGACAAGATAATGTGTTACACCTATTTCTAAACATTTTCTTCATGTTGGAAGGTGTTATTTTCTATGTGACTTTTGATGACTAGTACGATATGTACACTGTCACCTTCATCAGACAAATGACCAGTGAAGCGTATATACACACAAAGGTGTAAAATGTATACGAGTTGTCTACAAAATCGATGTCGTTTCGGTAACGCTGTACGCGTATGTATATGTACCGAAACGGCTACGCTTTGTTTAATACTTGGTCAAAGATGTGCGAGAGTATTTGAGCCCCCTCGTTTCGATTTAGAACTGGTCGACTGCGGCGTATCCAGATGGCTTCCTGTATCTGCCGCTTGAACTAATTGCTCTCTCTGCTTCCTTTCTGATCTGATGAATTTCATACCTTCTTGGGTTTCCGTACCTTTCCCGTGTTCACCAAGGCGGACTGTATTACGCACTGTCTTTCCGGTCATTTGATAGCCGTGGCTAGTGAGACCGTCCTTTTGTTGATTTCCTCCTTAATATATCCTCGTGTTACCGGTTTCCGCGCACTTATGAAGCATCCGCGATTTCGTACTTATATCGGCAGAAAACGGTTGTAATTACGGATGACTGTCATAAACATGTACACAATCTACTAATAGAAGCAAAAAACTAGCAACATAGAACAGCAATTATAAAAAAAAACAAAAACAGAACAAACATTTTTTAACAAATTTCTCCTGTCGGAAGTACCCGTCATATGTATTCGTGTGTCTATTTTTATTTAGTGTTCAAAGAAAGATAACTCGAATACACTAAAAAGAAATCTCTACAGAGACCTGCAAGAACAAAAGCTTCGTTTGGAATAAAAAAAAATCATCTTTGATCGTCAAATTCATTATCAAAACAAATTAAAAAAAAACAACATTTTTTTTTGATTGATTTTTCAATGTCAACTTGAACGAATTCATGTAGAGAATTTTATAAATTTATTTATTTTATTTATTTATTCTGCAGTCTTATATATCGGTTTTGGTTGATGGTAAACTGTTTCTCATTTGGTCTGTTTAAAATTGGTGAAAATTGAAAATTCATTACATTACAAGGTTTACGTTTCATTGCAAACAGTGGTTATCGATATAAGAATGTATCCTTCGCTCTTCGGAAGTGGACAAAAATTGGCGAGGAGATGTGGCGACATTTACGAACGTTTGGGGTAAGTTTAAAGTAATTTTACACGTTTTAGGGGTTTAGATCAACTTTCGGTAAAAAAAATCCCTCTCCCAATGATGATATATCCGAACTCAATAAACGTGTAAAATTACTCTTAAAGTCTTAGTTTAGGCCCAATTATGATGTAACGAAAGCTCAAGTCATATTGGTACTGCAACAGGGGAGGAAACTCCCATTTTTCTCCTCCAAACTCTCTAAACTATTATCTTAAATTTGCCTTTTTCTCATACTTTTTTTTTATCTTAAGCGAACTTGTTTTCTTTACACAAGGTTATTTTTCTAAAATACATTGATGAGTTCTATGCTTTTATTTAACTATTTTTAAAAATATATTAGATTATCTTTGAGAGTATTTATTAGTAGTCACGTGACTGCAGTTGCTAGGCGCGCTATCATGAATACTCCCGAACTCCCGAAGTCGAAGAGATGATTCAACAAAGGATGGAAGTCCAGATTCCATCTCGGGCGTTCTTTGAGATTTTCAAGGTCAAAATGAAGTGAGTGTTTTCTCAGATATAGTCTTTACTCTATCAAGAACATAGAGTTTCCAAAATATATGTGTGTATAGGCACATTGCACGGCATTATGTTCCGAAGCAAAATGTTACAAGCAGACAACTGTATCCGGTTTCAATGGTTTAGTTTAGACACTGGTTATTTCCAAATGTCCAATTTAATAATACACATATCTTATCCTCTGCTTTACTGATATGGGTCACAGCAGATCTTTACATACCGTCAGTAAAGCAGAGGATATATGTGTATTATTAAATTAGACATTTGGAAATAACCTGTGTCTAAATTATAGCATATATATACTGTATGTGTATTTGACATTTGTAACGAACATCTGTGGTTGTCTTGGAGAGTTGAATTTCATATGCTAGTTTTTTTGCAGATCTGTACGAATGGATGAGTAATGAATGGGATAAATAGAATAGATAGGGCTATGTACATAATTGGAAATGAGATGGAGTTGTTCACGCATGAGCCAATTGTTTTCGAAGATTATCAATCACAAAACTTTAGCTGCGGTCGCGCATATATAGGTTGTGTTGGCTTTCTAGGTGTTTGATTGATAGTGATACAGAGTTATAGAATTTTTTTTATAATTTCAAAAAGTATCTGACAATCTTAACTTATAGAAGTTATACGGATTGCAACAATTATATGATATTGTGTTCGAATTATCCACCTATTCAAACTGCCTGGAGGTTGACCATACTATTTTCCAAGATGTATACATATGATTTATAAAGCAATCCATGGGCAAAAAACGCGCTCGTGATAAGTTCTTATGATGAGGGAGACTAATTACTAAGTGTGTTTACATGTAAATGTAACTGTGAGAGTTCAGGTATGAATTTGACAGGGTGTGTGAATATATTGTGAACCTTTCCTAGAATGTTAACTAGCCAGAGATGTAAGAATACTAAGATCACAATTACCAGTATATCCCATTATAAGCTTTGAATTATACAACTAGCAAATAGGGTGTAATAAAATGCTCATTTCAATGCTCTTATGAAAAGACATTATTATAAAATAATCTTATTTTCTTAAAACATTTTTTATGATCAATCGATATTCAAAATATTTTATGATGTCAATATATTGCAGAACAATAATAAATATCATAGAATATAAATCACCAAACAGATTTAAAATTGACAGTCTAGAAAAAAAGGAGTTTAATTAAACATCAGTCTTGCCTATTTTTTTCTTTGATCATAATGTAAAGGCTTCCAGGGATGACTTCTCATTCTGAAATCATGATACATTCTCAGATGAATTTAGCTTCATGAAGCTGAAATCAAAGAAGTACAATATAAAAACTATGAGTCATCAAACTTTGTTGAAATAGGCCTTCTAGGAAAATAAAATTTAGCATACAATTTTCTCATTTTGATAGCATGATTTATATTGACGAGAAATGGCCTACGTAATTTGCATTTCGGAAATCATCTTAGGAATTTTAAGAGATGGGGGGGGATTGGGTGTTTTCCCATTGAAATTTATCCATTAATGGCCTTAATTAGTTCCAGAAACTGGATTTATTCTATATTCATTACAGTAGGCTAATCACTTACTGTTAGAAATGTAACAGGAGAGGAAAAATCCAACGCCAGATCGGGGTTCGAACCTGAACTCTTCCAACTCTAGACAGACGCTCTACTAAATGAGCTACCTTGTCGCCGACAATCGACAGTCCAGTTCCGTTACAGAAGTAAAACTGTTTTTTTAGAAGACATGTATTGTTTACAAATTTTACTGGTTACTTCTCTGTAAATTTTATTTATTACAAGTACAGAACTGATAACTTAGACCTGGGTACAGTACAGTACTTGTGACTCTCACCACCAATGACAACTTAGACCTAGGTACAGTACAGTACTTGTGACTCTCACCACCAATGA